TATTTATATTCATTGTGATATCGTCTGAATTATTTGCTTTTATTGTCCATTATATACAATCATACGTTTTATCATTTAGTATACTATAGGGAAGGATGTAAGATGCAGTATTAGAGAGTTTGATGCTCAATTGATCAAAAGCCTCAATAAATTATAATCTCTAAAATCTGTAAAATAACTGTTGATCTAGAGGATGATTGACATGTTAAAAAATATCCTAACGAATTTAACAGGAGACCTTAGATATAGGCCTGAAGAAGAAAATATCTTTTTATACACAAAAATTCATGTAAGTTTTTCATAATTTCTTAAGTAATACACTTTTTAATACACGATAATTTTAAATAAAATCATCATTTAAAAGATAAAATCTAGATAGATAATAAAAATGAGCTCGATTAGACTCGTTCTTGACAAAATATATTATTAACAAATATAATTCGAATAAAAACCTGATTAATAGCCTTTTGGCTATTTACTTAATGTCAATTATTTAGAATGAATTTGTTATATTTCTCACGCTTATATTGTAGAATCATTTATATAATCATATGCGCTACTATAAAAAGTTCTTCGTAACGCCATTTATGGGACTTTAAAATTTTATGAAATCTATTCACCCAATTTCGTGTAAGCTGATGAAGGACTAGTATAAGAATTTTCCCACAATGATATGAGTAGAGCTAACGTTTCCATTGAATTTCATATAGCCTTGCTTTCCCAGAAGTTGTTCTCATCTCATATTACTGATTTACAGATAGTCTAGAAACTTTATTCAAATACGAAAAATAAATAACCTAGTCGATTATTATAGTAAATATACGTTTGCTACTACCAGTCCTTCATCACCTTACACGAAATTGGGTGAATACATTTCTTACTACTGATTTACTGGTAGTCTCGAAACATTAGTTAAAATGCGAAAAATTGAAAAGTTTAGTTACGACTTATAAAGTTGTATGATTCATTTGAGTGATTTAGGCCTATATCTAAAATGTGAGTTAATCCTTCATAATAAGGACTCTCCAATCCAGGACAGACTACATGCTCTACTCATATCAACGTGGGAAAATTCAACTACCAGTCCTTCATCACGTTATAAAGAAATTGATTTATTGGTAATCTCCAAACTCTGCTTATAAACGAAAAATAACTATTTTAGTCTATTGTTATAGCAAATATAGAAAAGAAAAATTGGGTTCCGAAGAATTCCTTAAAGAAATATTGTGGTATGACCCTCCATTTCGAAGGGAAAGTTAGTTGGAAGGAATTCGTGATGTGGTCTCACCTGAAACCGAACGAGGATTATCGCGTAAGGAAGACTTTTAATTATTGCGAAGAGGTCATCGGCCCATCGTCCTGCGACCCCGATGAAACTGTGCTAAGCTTTCGTCTGTACTATTTCAAATATCATCAGAACAAGATTCCATACTTTACGAAATAGAGCAAAAATAGTTTGGGGGAATTCCTTGAACTAATAAATAGAATAGATTCAAACACTAAGTTTACCATGTAGTTGGAAAAGGAAAATTAATTGTTTTTCTTAGGTGTATTAGTGAGCAAAGAAGGTAATGAGTTAGGTAGAGATGTATATAGGACACCCACTCACACGGGTTTCTTTATTAATTTTTACACGAACCATGCATAAAAAGTACAAGTGGTAGTTATGAAGTCTATGAGAATAAAGAGTCTGCGTCTAGCAGATGTAACTGATAGGAACCAGGAGCTTGGTATATTGAGAGATATACAGTTCCTAAACAATTACCCATTAGGATTAGTAAACAATTACATAGCAATTGTAGTTAACAAGATTAGTCGATTTTGCTATTAGGCGCGAGATATAAAACTGGACAATTCTACTCAGTTCCTGATTTGGCCTTCCTGTCAGCTTGCGAGAAAGCTGGGTGAACTACTGAGGAAATGGAACATAAAAACAATGGATGAAGAGAAATTGACACTTTCTTCAGTAGTTACTTCGTTTAGAGAATATTCAGACTTTCTTTATAGATCAGGCTTTTACAAGGTTTTTTGCTCATGTGGCAAGGTATATCTATGACAGACCTGTCGATCCATTCACAAGAGACCATGTGAACAAAAAACCGCTTGTAAAGGTCTGTGGATTCGAAGATCTGAGTTCGCTGAATACATGGACAATACAGGACACTCAATAAACTGATCCATAACAACGTTTTGCGGATTACGGGGACTTAACGTCAAAGAGTAAGATTTGCGAGTCTATAGAAATTAACAAAACAGCCAACGTCCTGAATTGGAGCAACGAGTGTAGAAACCTAAGTAGTGACATTTTGTGATTGTCGGATAGACTTAAGAAAAGGGAGCGAGAGACGGTGCAGGAAGAGCCAGTGAGGAAGAGAAGGAGGCTGGATTAGCCTCGTGTCTAGCTGGCACTATCATACTACCCATGACATGAGCATTACATACACACAATGGACAGCCGTACATGCCCAAACATGCTTCGAAATTAGACGATCGTACGCTAGTTTTTGTGTGATGAAACAATTGTCACCGGACACATTTCCGGTTCGTGAAGTTAACTTTACTCTACTGCAAGAATGTAGAGTAAGGTTGAAGTCGTCAACAAAATCAAGGGAGGTGTAAATAAGCAACTAGGGTTGAAGCCGGCCACCTTTTCTCTTGGTTTAGTACATTTTGGCTCTATTTCGTGAAGTATGCAATCTTGATCTGATGATGTCTGTCAGGGTGGTACAGACGAAATCTTAAGAAAAGTTTCAATGGGGTTGCAGGACGGTGAGCCGATGACTTCTTCGCAAAATTCAACTGTCTTCCCTACGCCACAATCTTCCTTCGGTTTGTGTTGAGACCACATTACGAATGCTTTCCAACCAACTTTCCCTCCGAAACGGAGAGTCAATCCACAATAGCAAATATAACTTTGCTTCATTGACAATCCCAACAAAGAATGTGATATGTGAAAATGCCTGAACTTCCTCGAAATTCCCATCTGCCCTGTGACAGCGTGACACTCGTGGCAATATTGCGGTGTAGATTACGTGTCAAGATTACACGCTGCACTGCCATGGTTCGACTCCTGCTAGGGCTGTTGATAAGACCCTGGATGAAATCATCTTTTTTAAAGCAAGACTATGTAAAACTTAATGGAAATTTCATCTTTAGTCGGTTTACTGTGGGAAAATGCATCTACCATTTCTTTAGCCCTTCAGACGAAATAGAGTGAATGCATCTCATATGGTTGACTTACTGGTAATCTCGAAACTCTGCCTACAGACGAAGAATACTTGTGCATCGTCCGACACAATATTTTTTCTGTTCTGGCTTATGTAAAAAAGCCTACATTAGGCCAATATAATAGTAACTGAGTTGGTAAAATCTAATCAAAATGCTTATATCGTTTTGTTCTAAAAAAGCATATTATTTTGTATTGATTTTGGCTTAGTAGTTGTCCCATGATTTGTATGGAATCAATACCTATTAAACGGATTTCGGTATGTAGAAACTATGTCCTATCTTAAAGCAGAATATCTTTACCTAAATGTCTGATATACGTCCAAAGTTTGCAAAGTAATATCAATATTTAGACGTTAGGTCCTGCTATAAATCTGGAGCTTATGACAAGCTAACACCCTATTCTGATTATTCTTATCAGTAATTGGGGAATAAAGTATATACAATCCTGCTTTATCGGCATAAAGAGGATCTGATTCAGGAACTAAAGGCAGCTTTTTAATTTCTATCAGAATTTCCCACCGCCACATTGTGTTTAGAAGGGACAGAGATCACTAGATCGGAATTTAGCAGAAAAAATTGATAATAGCTGTCATAAAATGCATTTTGCTAAGCAATAAAAAACGTTTTAGCGACATTTTCTGTACTCTTATCGCTATAGTTCTATGCAGCATATTGAGGAATATAGATTATATCGGGTGCTTATTTGCCTATTTAATATGAATTCTTTACAAAATTGGTGCAACGAATTAAAAAACAGCACGTGATTGGACTAAAGGTACATGTTTTTAAATTATAGGCAGTTATAAACACTGGAAAGTATAGATAGCATACTCACGAACTGTATGTTAGGCAGTGAAGTGAAAATAAGCCCAAATTATGATAAAATGAGTGTCCTCATTTTGATGGCTGGCGCAAAGCTAAGAAATATGGATTAATTAATATGATCTTAATCGGAGTAATATTTCATGACTTAATCGCTCATAGGTCAAATTTAACCTTAAAATTCCAAAACACATACCGTAGTATCTTCCGGCAGAATGTACTGTAGTAGATGAGCCGCCTGCCTCAGCTCCCTGCGCTTGTGGGGTAGTAGGGAAATGATCTGTTCCTTATGTCGTTCCTCATCTATTTCGCGTACATTAACGTAATCTACGTCGGTTTCAAATGTATTGTGTGCCCACTCTATCAGCTGTACGGGTGGGTTGGCTGTGAACTGGCATGGTAGGCTTCCACGACCTCCAAGGGCCAGATAAACTGTGGGTGGGCCGTTGGGCTGCTCCAATGGGATGTCGGCTTGAGGGATAACTGGTAGAAGAACGAATTCGTAGATAAAATAGTGAAGATTAATAAAATCATACCCTTAGTTGAGAAAGATGTAACATTTTTAAAGCAAAATAATATTTTGTGTATGCTAATTTTACAAATATAACAGAATTTCTTTTATGGTACTTTGGGTCGCATGCTCTATCCAACCACTATTTATTTTGGTTGATTTTCAGCCTCACAGTAGACAAACACTCTTCTATATTATTGCGATTTCGGCAACAACTCTTGATGTACCTTTAATTGGTATATCTTATAATAAGAAGAATGAATTAAAAAATCGTATAAAAACCGACTTTAGTATATAGATAATGCAAAATCATTGGGTTCTAATTAAATGCTTGGGTACGCGATTCCCGATATCCTATGTAGCTACATGACATGAGCACATTATACAGATCCATTTCCCTATATTTCGCATAAAACAACGATGTATACCCTTTGAATCTATGATTATATGGATAAACTAAAATTTATTGAAAGATAAATCTATGATTTCTATTTTGGCTATGAAGAAATTAAGTTATATTTATATTTCTTATAAGTTGATATTTAAGTTTTTCTACCTATAACCACAACAACACCCATTAATATTAGTAGTACCGCTTTATGTTAATGTATCACCTTATCATATATATATATATATATATATATATATATTACTCAAATACTAGGCATCATGCTCTAAAATTCTGCCGGCAACATCAAACAAATATATGTCTATGAGTAGTGTTCACACTATTTCGTTTATGGTGATGAAAGACTGGTAGTTGATTTTCCCACAATGATAGCCTTACTTTCCTAAAAGGGGTTATTATCCAGAGTAGACTGTAGATTTGACCTCGCGTAGGCCTTATCATCACCTCAAGAAGAAGTCGAACTACAATTGAGCAGCGTGTAAGCTGCTCACTCGCATTGCTACTCATTTCATTTTGGTTAAAATAACTACCAGTCTTTCATCAAGTTAAGCGAAATAGGGTGAATACAACTAATATATCTGATTTGCTGGTCGTCTCGAAAACCATCTCATTCACGAACAAAGTTATGTAGTCGATTGTTATAGCAAATATAAGCTTTGTTAATTGACAATCCCAAAACAGAGTGTGATGTGAAAAATGTCTGAAATTACTTGACCCTGGGACCCGAAGGTACTCGTGACAATGTGGCGTAGTTTTTATCATATCAAGCTTACACTCTGCCCTTTCATGGTTCGACTCTCACTCTGGGTATTATAAGACCTATGCAAGAACGAAACTGCATTCCACCCTGAGTGAGAACACCTTGTGTGAAAGCAAGGCAATGTGAAATTCAATGGAAAGTACTTATATAATTGTGAGAAAATCAACTTTCAGTCCTTCATCATTTATGAAAAACCAGGTTTGCCATATCCTAATCGTTTTAAAAATGTTATCATTAACAAGGTACTACAGGCTTTATAGTTTAAAAAGAACTAAAATGTATTTGTACTTCTAGAAAAACA